CATATTAGATAAAAAAAGCTTTTACTATTACTTTTAGATAAACTGATGAGCATTTCAGTTATGAAAAAGTCTGTTTCACTAATGTTCTCCATCATTATCAAAATAAATAGAAAATGTGAACTTATAAGACTGCACAGTTGTGAATTAACACCCAAAATTTACCATAATAAAGTGAGTACTTACTTCATTAAGATGGGATTTACTGGCATGACAAAAAACAAGTTGCTTTATTAAAATTAATTGAAAAAATATAGATATTTACAGTAAACTTCTAAATAAAATCAAACCACTAAAGATGAGAAATTTATACAATATGTAAAACATAAATTATGATTGAATTCAATAAACTAACAATATTCATGATTATAAAAGTCACTTTGACTTGAGGGGAAATTCTGCTTGTATGATGAACATTTGAAAGGCTGCAAAATCTTTCAGAGCTTAATATATTCCTATGGAAAAAGCTTGGTAGTTAAAGCCAAACAAAATGCATCTTGTGTGTTCATATAATTCATTTTCTATATGTGCTTTTAAAATTTGGCACTGTAAAAAAAATATGTTTCTATTATTTTGGATGTACATAGATTCCACACACCCATTCACTCATTCCTGAGATTCAGTTCTCAGTTTTCTGAAATAAAGAGACAGGATGTCTGGAATTTGCAAGCAAAGAGAATAAAATCCCCCCAAATGTAAATAAATGGGACAAAGTGCCTGGCTTGTATTTGCCACTTTGCTTTTCCTGACTCCCGCAAATCACTTCTAGGCTTTCACAGAGGAAAGATGGTAGAATGTTACCAGACAAAAGTTACAAAGGATGTAGTGCTCCTTCCTTCAAGGTGCACACTAAATGTGCAGAGAGAGAATCAATATTACATTGTTAGTTCCCTAGCTGCACACTTAAGAGAGCATGGTGCAATTGGAAACAATTTACTTTACATCCCAATTTGGTGCCTATTATACCAGATATTCAAACAGTCCAATGAAAGGTTTGTTATGCTCACAATTGCTCTTTGATCAACAACTCTCTCTCAAACAAACCATTGTATTATTCTGAGGCAGCAAAGCACTTAAGCATATTTGTTACCAAAGACTCGTCTACACTGGCAAAAAGTCTCAGAAGGGTAATCGTGCTAGTCTAACTTTAAAAATAAATAGTCCTGTGGCAACTTAGAGAAATATATAGGATCATGAGCTTTTGTGGGTAAAACTCACTTCATCAGATAAGGTGATGTGGAAATAACAGAACCTAAGATATATATTATAGCAAAAGAAGTACCTGTTCATTGTAGGACCCAAGTTAATGAAGCTAATTAAGAGGAGCTGGATGTGTTCAATTCACAGCTTTTGATGTGAAAATGTGAATGCCAAAGGCGGGAGAAACTGGCTTTGTAGTGCGTTAACCAGTTAATGTCTTCAAGCCCAGGGTGACAGTGTCAAATTTAAAAAACATCCAACACTCCAGTCATCTGAAGTGGGCTGTGCCCATGAAAGTTCATGATACCATCTACATATTTTGTTAGTCTTTAAAGTGCTACCAGACTGTTTGTTGTTGTTTTTTAAAGTATTTCCTGTTACAGACTAACTTGGCTACCCCTCAAGTGTCAAATTTGTAAATGAATTCCAGTTCAGCTGTCTCTGTCATTCGGTAGTGAAATTCCTTTGTAGAAGGCAGCTACTTTTAAATCCATGATTTGTGTGTAGCTAGATTAAAATGTTCCCCTATAGGTTTGTGTGTGTTACCATTCCTGGTTCTGATCTGTGTCCAGTTGTTCTTTGTCGCAGAGTCAGTCTGGTTTGGTCAACATACGCAGCAGAGGCAACATACACCGGCAAGTTGGGCAAAAATGTTTCAGCAGTTACTTGCCAGTGTAAACAGACTCCCACTGCTGGGAGCTAAGTCCCCATGGAGGTGATAGAAACGTAGCCGTGTTAGTCTGGGGTAGCTGAAGCAAAATGCAGGACAATGTAGCACTTTAAAGACGAACAAGATGGTTTATTAGATGATGAGCTTTCGTGGGCCAGACCCACTTCCTCAGATCAAACCATGGAGGTGGTTTTTCTAAAGCCCTGGAAGAGCTCGCTTCCAGCACTGATGCTGTGACCGTGTCATGTTAAACTGCTGCCACTAGCAGCACTCAAGGCTACAAGTGTAGACAAAGCTTGAGTGAATGAGTAATCCCAATGAAGTGATTGACTTCTTACATGCTGAAATCATGCACAATTTAGTAATCTGCTGGACTGAAGCCCAGGTAAGCATCTTCTAATAGCTCCTTTCACTGTCACTGGGGCCAGGTAACTTTGACTGTAATTCACACTGTAGCTTTAGTAATACAAAAAGCAAACAGATTTTACTATTGCTGAAGACAAAATATTAATTCTTAATGTCTCAAAATCCACAGATACTAGTTTGTAGAACCCGAGTTAAAATTTTAATTCTAACAATTTACTTATTTCTAATAAAATACACAAAAGGTGACTACCTATTAAAACACCTTTCTTCCTTTTCCTAAGGCAATTGAAGATAATACTGTTTAGAGATGTTAGCCTAATTAAAAGAGAGAAGCCTCATTTTATAAACTCACCTGTTTCCCACCCATCACTTGAATGGTATGAAGTATAGGTTGAACCTCTCTAGTCCAATATTCTCAGGATCTGACCGTGCCAAACCAGAGAATTTGCCCAACTAGGAGGTCAATATTTTCTAGCATCATTACCAACACTTCTACAGCTTATTGGCCTCTTAGAAGATATTTAGGGGTAAATTTGAGCTAAACAGCACAGAACACAGAAGCCAGGACTGGTGGCTATAAACAACCTTTATGGGACTGCAGAAAACTTGGCCACATCCATGGTAAGTGGACACTGGGCTAATTAAAATCATGCTGGACCATGGATGTTGCTGAACCAGTGTGCGCTACATTAGAGAGGTTCAACCTGTACTAGGATAGCAAGTAAGTACAGGTAGGTTGTACCTCCAAAATCCGGCACACTCTGGTCTGGCAAAATCCCTGGTCTGGCAGGTTCATGGATGCTCCTGGATCAGAGAGCCCAGGAGCCTAAGAGCAGGAGGTCCAGATAAGCTGGGCATCAGGGTCAGCAGCCCGGCTGGGGACAGCACAGGACTCAGGCTAGACCACTGTGGAAGCCTCCAACAGCACTCAGGCCTGAGCCCCATGGCAGCACGGGGTCGGAATCCCACACAGCAACCCTCTGGTGTGGGGCTGAGGCTGCATGAGGCCAGGGTTGAAGCCTCACAGCTTTCCACAGCTTCTCTTGGCATGGAGCCGGGATCAGAGCCTCAGCCCCACGACTGCCCCTGGCTACATGGGACCAGAACCCTGAGGCAGCAGCTGGAGCCTAGGCTGCCCAGGGAGCCAGCAGTAGCTAGGAAAGCAGCCCAGCCAGGTTGGGGGGTGGGCAGGAGGGAGGACGAGGCAGGATTGCCTGCTGGGGCAGTCTACCAGCAATGGGTGATGAGCTTGGGGGCTGGTGGCAGCAGATCTCCCCATGTCCAGCAAACTTCTCTTGTTCAGAACTAGTGAGGTCCCCACAATGCCAGACCAGGAAGGACCAACCTGTACATCTTACAAATGCACAAAAAGCACTTTGACACTCCAAATACCTTAGGCTGGGAGATATTATATATAAGGAACCAATGAGTGCTTTGTAATAATTTTGTAAATATTTTATAAATATTCTATTTAGGTAATGTCTCATTCAATCCTTTTCACAAGTCATGCAGTGGCAGATGCTGCATCTCACAGCCTAACAAGATGCCCAGTACACTTACGTGGTGCAATAAAAACTGTAAGAACACAACTTGTGGCAAAATGGAGATGTCAATGTCTATTTAAACAACTGATTGGCTGATCATTCAATACTAACACAAACCCACACTGTCTTGTGGTTCAAGACTCTATTAAAGACCATCTCAGTTTTGCCAGTTAGCTATAAGTTAATTACAAAGACTTGTTACTTCTCCCTCCCCAGCTGCACACCTACCCTGTAAATTAGGTTGGCCAAACTATAGCCTGTAGCATATAGGACTTTCCCCTGCTTGTCTATACATCGGAAACATGCTTCTCCTCACAAGGAAGACTGACCAGGAAGAGATAGGATGAAGAGGAGACAATGTAGAGAGGAGAAAAAAGGATAACAAGCATCTAGGAGGACCCTATGAGTTTAGGTGGGCTTGATGAGCCTAATCCAAAACATCCATGCTGCTAACCTGAGCCTCGCTAGTGCAAGTCTGTGTAGCCAGGCTGGGAGGCATGCCCCTAGCTGCAATGCAGACAGGCTTATCTAGCTGGATACACCCAGGAAAATTTATGTGAATTAACAAAAACTGTGAATTTAAATCAGATGAGTTTAACGCGTTAAACCCAATGTGGAAATACACATTCAGAATTAAAGTGATCTTAAAACTAAGTAAGGACCACACATCCCACATTGCAAATTTAACTTCCTCCTTTTCATCCATCTGTATATGCTACTTTACTGCCCCAAACTTTATTAGTATTGGGGATTGTATAAACTGGGAGTTAGACATGTTTGGGGAGGTTAAAAGAGGGGTGATGGAAGGCCGGTGGTTCTGTGAAATTTGCAGAACTTGATCTGTAGTGAACAGTAGTAGTGATGTATCCCTGCATGTGGAGAAATAGAGGTTCTGTACAGGTAGGCAATAATATTTACTATTCATTTTCTTGCTTTTGTGGGGAGAGTTGTCAGGTATCTCTGTGTACGAACTAGGGCTGTCAAGAGATTAAAACAGTTAATCATGATTAATTGCGCGATGAGTCATGTTCGGCCTCCCCTTTGAGATGCTGCGGCAGCGCATTAGGAGCCTGGGATCAGCTGGGGACTCCAGCTGATCCCAAGTTCTGCATTGCAAAGCCCCTTTGAAGTGCTGCTCTGCTGTTTCAAAGGGGCTTTGCAACAGTGGAGCTGGGGATCAGCGCGGGACTCCAGTTGATCCCCAGCTCCACTGCCTCTTTGAAGCGAGGAACAGCACTTCAAAGGGACAGCACAGCATTAACATCTGCAATTAACATGTTAAAAAAATTAACATGTTAATCCTATCCTGTGTTAATTGCAGGTGTTAACACAGGTCAATTGACAGCCCTAGTAGGAACCTTAAGTGTTCTACAATGAACTTTTCTATTTATTAGTTTACAAGGTTTCTTTAATGCTTGAAAAGAAGTGGGAAATCCCAATCCGTGGGAGAACGAAAATGCAGCAATCCTGTTGCAGGATAAAATCGGACATGAATGGGTAGTTTGAGAGTGAGTTTGCAGCCTACTCCAATCATTCAAGTTTGGATTGCCTAGTTCCCATCAACCAGATTTGTATTTGCACCAGTTCTAGTTAGCACACCCCTCTCTATAAAGTTTTATGTGGCTAGACAGTGTTCAGTGCAAAATGTGATAACAAAATTCAGCTAAAGCCCTATTTCAACAATGAAACAAGACAAAACATACATAAATAATCCATATACACTAACCTTGTATGATATTTCATGCTGATTGGCCACCTACTTTTAGAGTAAAAAAAAAATAAAATATATATCCCATTTTAAGCCCCTGTTAGAATACATCCCCAACTATGCAGTTGCTACCAGTCACTTGAAAAGTATGTGCATACCCACAGAATAAATGGCGATAAAATATAGTAGGTTACATTTTCACATAGTGAGGGAGGGATAGTAAAAATAACAGAATATAAAACCACAAAAATTAACAGGATGATATAAGTGCAACTGAAAAAAAACCAAGTTAAAAATGGACAGGATTTCAATTTGATTCTTTCTTTAAACAATTAGCATTCAGATTAACAGTAGGTTGGCACTAGTACCCCCTTTGGGTTTAACATACTGATGAATAAAAATAAAAACCAAACCCAGCAACATAATTAGATCTAAAATAGGTAGCCAATACTATGCTTGCAAAAAAAATAGGTTATTCATAGTGAAACCAGAATATGCAGGAATCACATTGCAGTATTCAAATTTGACAACTATAGCAAAGAAATCCAGCCTATTCCCCTCCTTTTTTTAAACAAAGATTACAAAATTGTGTTTTATTGAGTTTCACACAAGATGCACTTATAAAATTGGTACAGAATGTCACTTAACAGATGAAAATCTTTCCAAGATTCCTTTAGCAACTGCTAAATAACTGAAAAAATTAAGTCTCAGAAAAATTTAAGTTGTACCCAATTCACAGATGATCTGAATTGAATTTTAATGTGCAAATTTCTCAATGAGCATAAAATACATCTAAAATAAAGGCATTTTGGAATCTTCTCCACCAACTCAATTGATTGTGGACTCTACTGCAGGTAGTGGTGGTAGAGAAGGGGCAGCAAGAGGCTCCCTTTAGAGTAAATGATGTTGACTTACATTGTTTAAGCCATTTTCATGACAACTTTACATTCAGTTTCATGACATTATTTCTACACATTTCTCTGTTCTGTCATAATACAATTCTGCAAATATTAGGAATTAGCATATATTCTTCCACATTTCATATTCATAAGATAAACACTGAACTTTGGCTTTTCCACTCTAATATATTACACATAAGTTGATAAAAAACCTGTGGTTTGTTCATCACTGAAATATCTGCATCATAGCCAAAAACAAAAATTAAATTCCAAAGGGAAATAATTTAGCAGACATCAACTTAAAGCTTTTGAAAGGTTTTTGAAAAAAGAGGTTAATGTTGTATTTTAACAGCAAATATAGGATACATCACTAGATGCAAGACTGCCTTTTGATTCAGTTCTCTAGCCTACTTATTGAGCTGAAATGCAGTTTCATTCTTGAGGGATTCAAAATGCCTTTCATCAATTCCCCCAACCTTGCCACACACACCAGAAATTAAGATGCATTATACTTCATCACACCAAGCTCTTCATAATAAAGCTACTCAAATCTACTTAAAATCCATCAATTAAAATGGATGCTTCTGATTTCTGTATAACTATTCTATGGACAATTTTTCCAGCTAAGTTAATATAGAGATGCCATTTTTATCAACTTGTTTAAACCAAAATGTAGTAGTTATTTCTTCCATTGCATTGGAATTATGTGGAATTAATGCAGCACTGGTGTTGCTGGCTGCAGTTCACATTACCTTTTCTCAATATAAAGAAATCTCTATATAACAAAATATTTCCAATTGCAAAAAACAAGCAACTATTTTTTTAAAAAAGCCTTTCATATAGCATTTATAAATGTATACCGCTTGCCTTGCAGAACACATTGTAATTGAACAGAAAAACGATGAAGCTGCGTTTGCCCAGTTATGCGGACCCTTCACTGTATTTTTTTTGTAGTTGTGATCCATTTCCCTTCCTGGTTTAGATTTTAGATAAAATACTATCTATGCACTAGGTCTTTCATTTAAGATACTGTAGTATTTTATTCTGATTAGTTCAGGTACATCTTCCAAGATTTTTCTGGTGACAAGAATAATTATCTTGACTACTGTTTAATCTACCAGTGCTTTTTATGTGTTCACTGATAAGCACAAGTTTTGAAATCTGTTTGTAGCTGTTTATGAAAACAACATGTCACTGGAAAGATGAGCTTCCTATTGAAGTTGTCACATATTCCCAGTTATATCCTTATAATGGAGACACCTTGATGAAAAATGATATGTTCTGGAAGCATGGTTTCAAAAAGCAAAACAGGATTTTGATTTTTCCAATCTAATTCCGCAACAGCGATACTGTAGCTCTGCCAAATAGACAAGAGGCTCTCACAATCCATTATATTTTCCAAAGAGCCAAGTTAAAGATTTCTGTTACTTAATCTGACCAGCAACCAAACCTATTTACTTGTAGAAATTAATATCTGTTTGACATTAATAATTTAAGTTTTTAAATAAATATTTAAGTGCCTTTTTGGGCAACTGTCCATTCTGGTAGTATTTGCTGTCCCAACAGCTCAGTTTCCTAAGCACACCAATCCAGAAAACTTAGTCAATTCTGTTTCCACAAATAGTAAACCTGTCTATCTCCAACAAATCTTTCTTTGAAGATCTGTGTTTTAATTCTGAATTGTCTTGGCTTATATCTTTATCGTCTCCATCAGGAGTCGTCAGGAATTGATCAGAGTTGCTTGTCACAAGTAAAGATGTTGTATTTTCCTTCTGCTGTACAGGCTGATTGGTAACTGATGCAGAGAAACTTTCATCTGTGGAAATTCCTATTAGAAGAGCAGAAAATCAGAATAAAAATGTATTATCTGTATAAGCACATCAATGTATTTGAAACAGACTGATCTATCAAAGCTACACTGAGGGTTCAGAACGTTAGCCATGTGAACAATAAAAGTAGTACAAAAACAAGTGAACCACTTTTGGAAACCAGATTCTACTTAATATCCTGTCAAGCTACTTTTTGTTACCACTGCCTAAAATGCTTACTAATGCAATAAAATATTGTGCGTGAATTTCCATTAACATTGTGATACAAATCCAGCAAAATAAAGAAGTTCAATGAAAGGCAGGAGTATACCATATATGTCATCCAACACTGAGACATAATGGGATGCAATAAAACAAGCTGATGACGGTCATGATCATTGTGGTATGTTACTGAATACCATATGGTATGTTTTTAGTTTACTTCCTTATTTTTGAGGGTTTGTGTAATAACTTTGTTTTCTCCACCCATCCCCACTGAAATGATGCCAATCAACAGCAGTAAGAGACGTGATTTCTATGAAAGAATCTAGACACGTTATCAGTGACAGGACTGTATCCTGCCTACATAGGGAAACTGGACACCTTAAGCTTTATCCCATGGAGTAGGTTCAAATATGATAAAACAATAAATGTATGTTTTTATGGTCTCTAATCCCAAAATAACTCTATGAACCACCTGATTTGTTAGGGTTCCTTTCTTTTGTTTCAATAGAACTAAACATTGGATTTGTTAACACAATTTTTTCAAAGGCAGTTATATATGAACATATGATACTTATATTTCCATGCTGTACAGGCAGTCCCCGAGTTACGCGGATCCGACTTAGGAGACCAGGGAGAGGAAGCAAAGCGGCGGAACACGTGAGCAGCGGACAGGGCTGTCCGCTGCCCACGCGCTCCGCGGCTTGGCTCTGCTTTGCCCCCCCTCCCCCCCCCGGGTCTGCAGACCAGGGGGACGGGGGACAAAGCAGAGC